AACACACATATTACTCTGGTCAACTGTTTTAAAGACACCAGAAAGTGAAAAACTGACACGAGTAAATTCTATTTCACTGGCCTGTCGAAAAAGGTTTTGATTGGAATTTCCGGTCCCCTTGCCTTGAAATCCTCTTATGTCACTTCGCTGAATGCATGGCAAACAGCCTGGCTGGAACAGCCAAAAATTCCGTCTTGGGCCATCAACTTTTGCACCTTTGCCTATTCTCTCTAATCCCGGTTGGCTGAGGTCTAATACCGATAGTCAATGTACGAAACAGAAACAAGATAGGGATGATGTGATGTGTTCGGTTTTTTTCGAATTTCCTAACTTTTTTACTGGTCACATCACCCAGTCACGTCAATAGTTCATTAATGGTACTATGTCCGTTCATTTATATAACGAGGCTACAACTGCAAGTTGGATTCGATCAAGCATGGCAGGGTGGTGCTCAGTGTCATTGCTAACATGAAGTGTTTGCCTAATATATTCATAAAGCGGTAAGCTGCAAAAAAAGTAGTGTAATGCGTTCGAACGGTCTCATGCACTGTTTTTAACTGCATTCCCCGCCCTGTGAAGCCAGAGACTGAGCGATAACATCAATAGTATAAGCAGTGTATCCACATCGATGAACCAGCCATGGAATCACATCCATACCTAGTCGATCATTTTCACCACTCAGGTGGTGAACTTCTCGTGTGTCATCGTGGCCTACGTAATCAGCAAACTATCAGTGCCCAAGGGTTGATTAGCCGGTTGCCGCGATTAGACTGTAAGACGGGACATTTAAAGAGCACAAAAGCATTTCACACCTCTCAGCTTACCCAGAGCTAGCTTGTTTTCCATCTCGTGAAGGTAATGAACCAGCCAGCTCGGAGTAACGAGTTCCATCCGACTTAGATCCTGTGCGAATCACTTTCACAGAGGATTTGTAAAGGTGCAAACCCAAAAATAAGTTTGTGTATACTGTGAAATAGCAGCGAAGAACTGTCGGTCAAATTGCCTCCCGCACACCCAGTTAATTTGATGAAAGGTAATATATGATGGTTCCTAACGGAAAACACCGGAAAATGTTGAGATAACTGTTCGACAAGTAGACAACACAGAGTGCTTTTACAAAATCGTCGCGTTTTATCTCTTTTTTTAACGTTTTAGAGCAGTTTTCTAAAGTGGTGTTCTTGCGAACTCCATCCTTTCCTTCGAGTGATGGGATTAGCCACCTAAAATAATTTAGTTCTATTCACCTGTGATTGCTGTATTCAAATAAATTTGTCTCAAATTGACACCTGGGTACAGACGCCCTTGCGATTTCCGCTTCTGTTAGGTAAACGTTTTTTTCACCGGTTTCATGGTTGTTAGCTGTGGGTCGGTTATATTGCATGTATTTCAAGGGCGAATATGCTGACCTTTAATTAGGTCTTTGGAACGCTTTGGACATATCAAAACTTGATGAAAGCCGTGGGCTTCTTTCGGTTGACTTTCCTGATTACTGATGCCTCAGTTAATGCAATGCCTGCAGCTAAGTCGCTTTGGTGGCATTGCTTCACCTTGCTTCAAGTAAAAGACCCATCGGTTTGTTTCGGCCATATGGGACTGGTTGATATCGGCACGTCAACAGCCCTGGATACATCTACGAAGATGCATTTTTGCGCCAGTGACTTCCATGTATAGCTAACCGACAGCAATGTCTACCCCATAGAGATGGGTCCACTGAACATTGCTTCTCCGAACATTCTTTCCGTGGTTAGTGGTTGCTTTAATTGCGATGATTGCTCGATATGGGGCCCCAAGTACGCGTTGAGGCTGCAGGCGTTCACGCGTTATTGGTAGTCCAGTATTTCTTACCTGACAGAGTCCGTGAATTTTGTGTGCCTGTCTTGCGGAAAAAGAATTACTGCGACGTATTCGCATGGAATACTTAGCCGAAACGTGAAACGGTGCAGACACCACGATTGCCATGAGTGACCACCTCTACATAACGAAATTTGCTTCACGGAACTGGTCATTATGTTCAGTAACCATAGATTTTCGAGGGTCGATTAATGCAAAGCTGTCAGGTGATGCAAGAATTTGTTGTATCGCTCAAATTCTTCATCATAGTTATTCGGAAAATGTACAGCTTCAATTCGTGAAGCTGATAGAAACCTTTAGTTGGAATGCATCAGCAGATTAGATGGTTTTGTTCCTTCAAGCAAACTTTTTTCAAAGGTTTCTGAGATTCACGTACTGCGGTTTTATCCATCTTTTCACCCAATGACAAACGATATGCTTAAAAATCTGTCCAAGAATGCGAAACAAGTGTTGTGACATCCGATGAACAGCGTTCTTTTGTGCATAAGTATCCTTGTATTTAGCTTAGACCTAATGACGAATATGTTTGCTTCCGTCTGTCACCTTTCATATTCTATACTCTCCCTTCACACGCGAAATTTTGTTAACAGACGGTAAACCGACCATTCATCTGAAGCATTTCACCCCAAATCAAAACTGTCCAACAATGGACACTTCTTCCATTGCGAATTTTATTGATTTTTTGTTGGCAAACCCACTGTGATAATGGGGTGAGACATGGCTGATTCTCAATTATGATCTGCCTGTTTGTTGGACACGTTTGTTCACGCTGCTTGAGTAGACTCAGATTACGAAAATTAGTTTGCTTCAAACTGTCACTGGTTAGGCACCCCTCTTCGCTGTTTCCCTCGAAAGTTGGTGCTGATGTGTCAAAGCCGTCACAAATTTGTCGCCGTGGTTCCAGTCATGAGTGGTTGGATGTTCGAGTTTAGATGGGACTTTTAGGCTTTCACGACCTCAGCGGTTACGCGGATTCTAGAAGACAGTTTACGCGGATTGTTTATTCAGCGTTTTTGAGGATGGTAAGTTTGCTGTGCACTGTGAAAGACATATTACTACACCCGTATTCTGTCACCAAAAAACTGGACCTTAGTGTGGTGTGACGGTTCGCGGGACTCCACGTTGAGCTACACTGCGGGGTGCCCGTGCAACACTCGCAGTCTCTCATGCCACGCTGGTCAATGGTTAGGGGTCCAACAAACACAGTCTCCTGACTCTCCAGTTCGGGGGTTGAAATATGTGTGGCGACTTGTTCTGCACAACTAGAAACACACGTGCGTTCCTCGCCAAACCCCGCTACCTTGCGGTCAGGCTTTTGAGCCAAGGGTTTTGGTTAAGTAGTCTAGGTCTGGGCGCCCTGGCAGTATTCTGGCATAAGTACAACCATAAATTGCGCACTTGAAAATATGCTCTCGCCACATCAGCAAATCCTCACTGATTTTGTACTGTCGATGATAATGATGATAATCATGGAGCAGTGGCTTGAACTTTAGAGGTCGTACAGGAGAAGAATATACGTTGGGGCACAATGCAACCTGAAGTGCGGTAGAACACTTTCGAGCGCTAAATTTCCGTTAACATCTGCTCTTGATCTGAAGAGGGACTGATCAGGGCTCTTCAGGGTAAACGAGTCGTCTGAATCAACCTGGTCTTGTTCATGACGTTATGTTACTTTGATCACATTTTGACCAACCACAAAACAGTTGTGGAGCATGATGTTAATGGGAGCCTCACCTGAAGTTTTCCTCTTTTTATAACAGACTTTACTAGAATACACAAAGCAACTAGTAAGACTGATGGAATTTGGGGACTTAAATTACTTTATGGGCTCCAAGAACGGTGGTGGGTTGCGGAAGTTCTGATGAATGGGGTCTCGTAGAAAAAAGACCATCATGACTCTCTTGCCAACAGAAATATTGGCCTAAGAGTAAAATGGCGTCAGTAGAAAAAATTGGTCTCAATTTCGTACACGTTTTGTTTACTTCGTTTGCAAAGATCATTTACTAGTAACATTGTCGAAACTACAAACCCAGACCTTACAATATGGGTGCGATGCACTTGAATTCGCTGTCGTGATAATAATGTGGGGTTACCCGAGGAATAGGCTCACAAATGGATTGATATATTTACACGCTAGTTTGCAGCAGGTTCCGAAACACCAGTATGGGATTTTCTGAGGATTGGTAGGACAAAGAGATCGAGATGCTTAAGATGGGATTCGTAGCTTTCAGCGAAAGAAAAAAATAGCACCTCTACAGAATGAATTTCAGTTGGTTGACAGAACACCGAAAGTTCAGGTATTTTGTTCTACATTGAGAATTTCGCCCGCGGATAAACCAAAAATTAGTACCACACAGGGGATCCAACTGGATCTCAGCTGAATCTCTCGTTCCTGATATTCGTCAACTGACGTGATGCCACATGTTTCATGCATTTCCTGAATCCAATTCAATCGGGTTCAAGCGGAACATGAAGTTGGTGGAAACGTGGGACCTGCGCCTACCTGATGGACCATGAGGAAGATGAAACAACTCACGGGGATTGGAATACGTTTCAGCAAACTTATGAATTTTACGTCCAGTCGAGACAATGTGTTAAACCATTTAATTGCACAGTACTTGTTTGGGAGCAGTAAATATATCCTAATATACGGTCTGATTGCCTAATTAACGAGGTGTTCATCTGAGTCCTTAGTTAACAGTACGGAAGCTTACGAAAAGCTGTTTTACTCTGTAGAAACCCAAGTAATCGGTTTTCAGCAGAGGTGCCTAGATTTCGAAGGCCCCAAAATCGCACCGGAGGATTGCAAATAGGACCAAACGTAAGGCGCCAGTTGCTTGAGAACTATGTAAAGTTTAAATGCTGAGTGAAGGTATCTCGATTCAGGATTTGGCGCCCAGTTGAATCGTGCGTTATTTCTATCTAAATAAACAGTTTTTGTATGAGGCTCACAAGTTAAAAATCTATTGCCGTTATATCTGAGTGCTGTCCCCAATCCCCTGCAGCCGAAGTTGAATCGTATTTCTATCTAAATAAACAGTTTTGTATGAGGCTCACAAGTTAAAAATCTATTGCCGTTATATCTGAGTGCTGTCCCCAACCCAATGCAGCCGAACAGGTCAGACTACTGAGTCAGAGGCTAGGGTCAGGGACCCGAACAAAACCCTACGTTCTCACGCTGTCTCGTGGGTCAGACTTTTGAGTCAGAGGCTAGGGCCAGGGTCACCGAACAAAACCCTACGTCCTCCCACTGCCTTGTGGGTCAGACTTTTGAGCTAAAGGCTCAAGGTGGGGTACCTCGGCCTGGGCAACCGGGAAGTATCATTTGCCCGCGCAGTTCAGCGTCCACCGATGTCCCTTCCCAACCCCTTCCCACTGCACAAGCAAACGTCACTGGGCCATTTGACTGTCAGCCATCTGACCGAAGGGCCTTAGGCTCTCCGCTGCCCACAAACATTAAACAAAATAACACCTTTCTAAATCCACGAGATCTTTTCCACATAGAAGCTTTCAACGTCCGTACTCTATGTCAAATTGGCAAACAGGCAATGCTTGCTGAAACCTTGTACTCCCTTAAAATCGATGTATGCTGTGTCTCCGAAACACGCATACAAGACCCGAGCGTGGTTCTGCATCTCAGAACGCCAAGGATGAACTCAGCTCTTTCACATTTCTCCCTCCGTGTGTCTGGTGACCCAGAAGCGATGACTCGTGGAATATATGGCGTGGGAGTTGCACTCAGCCCCAGAGCTGAACGCGCTTTGCTGGATTGGATCCCAGTGAACAGTCGTCTCTGCGCCGTCCGGTTATCCAGTTCAATCAAGCTCAATGCCTCGCGGCATAAAAAGCGGTGCCTGTTTGTCGTGTCGGCTTATGCCCCGACGGACTGCAGTTCTGATGCGGAGAAGGATACTTTCTATCGAGAGCTATCCAGGCTCATTCGTCAGGCAAAAAGCACTGACATTGTGATCCTTGCAGGCGATTTGAATGCTCAAGTAGGTCGTCTGAGCTCCTTGGAATCACATTTGGGTGGTCGATTCGGAGTCGATGCTCGCCGAACAGACAACGGGGATCGCCTCCTTCAGTTGTGTGCTGATCACGAACTGTTTCTGGCAAGTACGAACTTTCAACATAAACGTTCGCACCGCGTAACCTGGCGGCCGCCAACTACAAATCAACCGTGGACCCAGTTGGACCACGTGGCCATCAGTCACCGGTGGAGAGCCACAATTCAAGACTGCCGTTCCTTCTGGGGCACACCACTTGATTCCGATCACGCCATGGTGCGCGCACGCCTGACAGTTCGTTTCCCTTCAGGCCCTCGCAAGTCGGCAAGAAACGTGCCAATCCACTATCTTCGAAGAACTGCCATAGCTCAACAGTATCGATCTGAGCTAGCCCAACAACTCTCCACAGTAAAACAATACTGTGGTGGCAGTGAACATGTGGACGAAGCGTGGCAAAATGTGAAAGGAGCCATGCTAGCGGCGTTCAGTGCTGCCTGCCCGACTTCTCCAATTCGACCACGGGACCACTGGATGTCGTCGAGGTCGTTATCCATGATTGATGCCAGGAAAGCCATACCAGCAGGCAACGAGTACGACGGCGCACGCAAATCCCTCAAACGCCAAATAGTGAAGAGTCTAAGGAAAGACCGAGAGCTCTGGTGGACATCGAAAGCTCGGGAGATGGAGAAGGCTTTTGCTACGGGAAACAGCCGTGCCCTTTATCAACTGATACGATCGACTGGCCCTAGGAAAGCAACGGTCAGCGAAACGATAAGTGAAAAAGATGGCTCATTAATTCACTCGCAAAAACGTCGACTGGAGAGATGGGCCGAACACTTCGAAGAGCAGTTCAGCTGGCCTCCTGCAACACAGCCGGTGGAGATAGTGCATACGGGCGAATGGAATGTAAACCTTGATCGCCCTTCGGAAGAAGAAATAAGGTACGAAGTAGCCGCACTGAAACGTGAGAAGGCACCAGGACCGGACGGTCTGTATCCAGCCCTCTTCAAAGAAGGCGGGAAATCCCTGGTGACCCACCTGACAAAGCTTATTGGTGCTATATGGGACGAAGAGTAAAGGTCTGCAGAATGGCGCATGTCGACGGTTATCTCCATCTTCTAAAAGGGCACGCGGACGCTATGTGAAAACCGCCGTGGTATCAGCCTGTTAGCTGTGGCATCGAAGGTGCTCTCTGGCCTTGTCCTTCGAAGGTTGGCTGAACACAGGGAGAGGCAGATCCGTGAAAACCAAGCTGGGTTCCGTCCTGCAAGAGGTTGCATCGATCATATCTTCACCCTCCGA